TTCAAATAAGGTATGGACCTTGGTTGATCCACCACAGGGTATAGTACCCATAGGTTGTAAATGGTTTACAAGCAAAAACGTGGTGTAGATGGAGAAGTGAATACTTATAAAGCAAGACTGGTTGCTAAAGGTTATACTAAAAAACAAGGAGTTGATTATGAGGAAACTTTTTCACCAGTAGCAATGCTTAAATCCATTCGGATATTGCTTGCTATAGCTCCGTATTATGACTACGAGATATGGCAAATGGATGTGAAAACTGCCTTTCTTAATGGAAACATTAAGGAAGACATTTATATTAAACAACCGGAGGGTTTCATATCAAGTGGGAGCGAACAAATGGTTTGTAAGCTTCAAAGGTCCATTTATGGACTTAAACAAGCTTCGAGGAGTTGGAACATTCGGTTTGATGAAACGATCAAAACGTTTGATTTTCATAAGAACCCGGATGAACCATGTGTTTATAAGAAGGTTAATGGGAATGTAGTTGCATTTGTTGTACTATATGTTGATGATATCTTACACATTGGGAATGATGTAGGGATGTTGCAATCAACACGGACATGGTTGTCAAAACAATTTTCCATGAAAGATTTGGGAGAAGCATCTTTTATCTTTGAGATAAAAATCTATACAGATAGATTTAAAGGGATGATTGGACTATCCCAATCAACGTACATAAATAAGGTGCTAAAACGGTTTAGCATGGAAGAATCCAAATGTGGATATATTCCAATGAGTCATGGGGTTTCACTTTCTAAGACGATGTCTCCAAAGACACTTGAAGAAAGAGAACGGATGAGTCATATACCTTATGCATCAGCTATTGGTAGCATTATGTATGCGATGTTATGTACAAGACCTGATGTGGCTCATGCACTTAGTGTAACGAGCAGATATCAGTCTAATCCAGGTGAAGAACACTGGAAAGCGGTTAAGATGATCTTTAAGTTCCTAAGAAGGACTAAGGATATCTTTATGGTGTATGGATATGGAGAACTGAAACTAGAAGGCTTTACTGATTCTGGTTTTCAGTCGGATAAAGATGACTTTAAATCCATGTCTG